CGTTCACCACAACATATAGCGGCTGCAGAAGAAGATAGGAAGTCCCACCCTAGAATTAGCTGGTGAGAGCACCGGGTAAGCACAGTGAACTCGATGTAATGCAAAATGTCATCAATAAACATACGAGCAGTACAAAGAGCAAAAGGGCGGATAGTGTTCGCCTGGGCTTCGACTAGATTGGGTCCATTATAAGGTGTCATTACTTTTTTCAGGCGTTTGCACAAATCATACCTAATCACAGAAACTGTAGCACCGGTGTCCACCAAAGCGTCCGCGAGAACTCCTTCCACCGTAACAGAAACCATGTTGAACGGGCGTGCTGGAGGAATATGAGTCCTACTGTTACATGCAGTTTCTCCTCCGAAAACTGCATCATTTAGTTTTCCGACCGGTTGTCAGTCGTAAACGAGGCTGGCCGAAGAGGAGAGGAGGAGTGACGGAAGGGCGAAGGTGATCGGCGTCGACTTGAACGCTAAGTGTTCCGCGTCTCAGTCGACGCGGGCGGAGATGGAGACCGCTGCTGTCCAGATGAATAACGCCGAGCGTAAGAATCCCCACTGGAAAAGTCCCGTTCGCGCATGTCGTACCCGCGGCGCTCGTCCTGCTGGCGCTTGCGGCAGAAGCGCGATATATGGCCACGATATCCACAGTAAAAGCATGTTGGGCGAGACGGGCGCCAAGGCGGGTAGTAGAGGGCGTTCGGCGCACCGGGAGATAGCGCACTCAAGTGGACAGACGGAGGGTCGGGTGGGTTTGGCCGGAAGTGGACCGGTGGTGCAGCAGCAACCGGCGTGAATGATGGCAGCGGCGAAGTAGAGTTTACGTTGCGAGGAGGCGCGGCCGGAACTTGCGCGTACGTTGGAGGGCTAGACGGAGGTGGCTGTACGTAGGCTGGACCGGTGAATGATGTTAGTTCCTCCCTTACGATGTCACGGAGGGCCATGCTTGAAGGCTGTGTGACAGACGGAAAAGGTTGTGAGATGCCCATTGATTGAAGTTCTTCTCGTATGATCTCCCGTATCATGTCACGCAGGTCCCGGTCTGCTGTACGGTGTTCACTATTGCCCGACTGAAGGCGAACAGAATCAAGTTCGTCGAGACGCTGACACGTAGAGACGACGTCAGTGAGAGTAGAAGGATTCTGGGCAACAAGGGCATTGTAGGCAATGCTTCCGATGCCCTTCAGGATGTGGCGCAGTTTGTCCGACTCGGACATCGAAGAATTGACGCGCCGGCAAAGCGCAAGGACATCCTCGATGTAAGATGTGTATGACTCGCCGGGATGTTGTTGGCGAGTATCTAGGGCCCTCCTCGCTTGAGCGGATCGAACGGCTGGCGTGCCGAATACTTGGCAAAGCTGCTGCTTGAAGGCAGGCCAGTCGGTGAGGTCGATCTCATGGTTCAAGAACCATGTCTTGGCAACGCCCGTGAGATAAAGCGATACTCGGCGGAGTTTGTTAGAGTCGTCCCAGTGATTAGTTCCGCTTACTCGCTCGTAGTAAGCGAGTCAGTCCTCCACATCTTCGCCGCGGAAACCAGCGAAGATCGGAGGGTCACGCTGGTGGTTTACGATGTAAAGAGGAGGGGCTTGCGGCGCAGAGACGGGAGCAGAAAGGGCATCCACCCATTCACTCTGAGACATGTTGGCGGACTGAGGGTCCAAGCGGCGGCCTGAACGGAGCTCCAGCGAGTAGGCGCTATAAGAAGAGGTACTGGGAACGTCAATCCATCTCCACCACGTATGACGGCTCGGTTGTAACGAGGTTTATTGGTCGTGAACTCGGGAACGAACAAGCGCAACGGACGGACCCGTAAAAGAAGCGTACGTTCCAAGAAGATGATGATTGTCAGCCAGAGCATATGATGATGATTGACTGCTGTTCAGATGAGGATGAAGCGCATAATAGATGCCTACAATATCATTATTACCAACAGCCTGACTGCGCCCCCTGCAGGTCAAAGGCCTCTCCGATGTTCCCCCAGTCAACTGGGCCCAGTGCTTCTTTCTGCCCCTCTATACGCGCAAACCTCCTAATTTCAACTGCCCACCAAACTTTCTGTTCTCACCTCACCTGCTTGCCTTCTCTGGGAATTCATTCAGTTATCCTTAATGATCAGTGGTTATCTCGCCTTCGCGCTGTGTCCTGCTCATGACCACTGTATACATGGTGTTCGTAAACTTCCCGTTGGTTCTCTTATTTATCTTCTACTTGATTCACAGAACACGTGGGCACATTTTTCCGGTGCATGATTCTGCTACCTCTGGTGGGTGAAAGAAAGACTACAGAGAAAAATAGGTACAAAAGGTAATACAGGAAAAGAGAATAAAAATGTTTTAGACCAAATATTCAGTGGTCTATTGTAGTATTATGGTGGTTTTGTGACGTTAAACCTCGAAAAGCATTACCATTGTACGGTCATTTTTCTGCCTGCCTTTTTCAATTCCTTCTCGTGTATGTGGCTTTGTATCTCTTTCTCTGTTTGTGCATTTCTTTCGTTGCGTTTCTATCTTTCACATCTATTTCTGTTTTCCTTCATTTTAATTCTCTTTCTCTTTTGCTCGATATTTTTTTTTCGTCTGCACTTGTTCTTTCCTACTCTCCCTTTTCTCTCTTTCTGTTCTCTCTGATTTCTTTTCTATCTTTATATGCATCCTTCTTTTTGCAAAATTGTTTTATGCATTTTCATTAGGTTTGTCTCATTACGTTCATTTCTCTTAACCTCTTTCTTTTTCTGTACAAACGTACTTGTTCTCTCTCTTTCCATATTTTTTTCTGCCCCTTCTTTCGTTTCCCGTAGTCATGCTCTTGTTATCTATCCTTCATTCTCTTCTATTTCTTTTTCTCTATTTGTATGTTTATGTAAATTTGTAGTTTTTCTTACCCCTTTCAGAGTTACTAAATTTACCGCCTTTCGAAATTGGTGTACAAGTTAGAGGAGCGAGGCAAGTATATAATACATAATACGAAGGGAAACAAAAGAGCGATAAGAGCGTGTGCGTATTCAAAAACGACGACGATAGCTTTCGGATTCCACTGCCACTTCAAGCCCCTCGTAGCTGCGCTACTACAAATAAAAAAAGAAACGAGATTGACAGAAACGAAGAAAAAAAAGCGGTAAATGAACCGAACGAGGAAAAGCCGCCTAGTTTCGCGGTTCCGTCAATCTTGGCGTCATTTGTATGAACTAATCCTAATCTAGTTGTGACGAATCTCACAACACAATTTAGAATAGCTGGAAGGCATTGAATGTAAAGCAGTATAATATTGTGCATAATTATTAAAGCGAAATGAGCGTTGCATTTTGTGGAAAGAACTGTTTGGTTAATTGAAGAGATGTTTTACGCGAAAGAAATCGTGTACAATCACACTACGTAAGCTGACTTGAATTTTCGTGGTGAGACTGAATATTAGGCAATACTTTATCAATTCGTAAAATATGGTATTTCCGGAGGCAATTACGTAATTATCGATTTGGAAGTATGGTGGCAGTGGGAAGTAACAAGGATGTATTGGTAACCAGAGTAGTGGAAATGTAAATTTGTAATGCCTAACTTCTAATGTATTTTGACATGAACAACTGCGTGACTATAAATACAAGCTATTGTGAAAGAACAATTTTGAAATCAAAGCATCAACCTAACTGTCACCACAATTATATTTCAACATGCTGCTTTATGAATATCTAGAGCCTTTTCATTGTTTCAAATTTAAAATGTCCATGTATTTTACACCCCCGGTACATGTTATTGTTGAGAATGAAATATGTTTTTTTAGCATTAGAGTTGATTTGAAGAGTCAAACTTGTGTGTGTTTTGCCACGACAACATAAAAAATAGTTCTTAAGCGTAAACACATAATAGGTTTTGTCTCCATTAGGATGCTACAATGGCAGTGTTGTTCAGATTATGTAAGAGCAAAAGCACACTTTGTTTTGTGTTTAGTAAGCTAAAAAGACGCAGACAATACGTATTGTTCTTGATATGATTTCTTTGGGCTGACCACATAATATACTATTTTTTACAGTAAGGCAACATCGGAAAAGTAGCGTCCCCCCTCCTCCCCCTTAGATCTACATTTCTTCACATTGTTTTCACACAACGCTTGCGCTAGCTTACACTTAAACTCCCTCATGCACAGAACTTCAATTTAGGCGGGAAAGAGAGTTTTAGATGAAAAATGGTGAAGTCTTTTGCAGAAAATTATTGTCTCACAAGAAATAAAAATTTCCTAATTTAGTAAAAACTATGAGCTGGTCACCTCAGGTGGCCCTCTCGTATTTTTTACCACCACGCAGTAAGGGTCTTCTGGCCACTTTGAGTGAAAGTACAGCTCTTCATTCTTATAGTCCTTAGCGTTAGCTACTGACTCAACATGCTCTCCGGCTGTATGCACATTGTGGGAACATCACATAATATCTACAAAAATATCTCGGGTTTACCACCTATAACGCGCCTTAAAGACGACGGCAGCTGGAAGCAAGCAAACGTAACATATCACATTGAAGCCCAAACGAAGTAGCGTCACCTGTGTCAGATTGCCGAATGCTTTAGAATATGCCTCACTTAAAATCTGACGTGCACGTGCTTTAAGAGTAAAAAACTGAAAAAAAAGGCGTTCAACTGCGGTGAACACCGTGCTTGAAAGAGTTAACAAACCTTGAAAGCAATATTTTCTTGCAAATAAGAGTGATTAATAGCAAGGGCTGATAATTTTTTACCTCACATTGCAGAAGAACGGCAACAGTCATGCTTAAAAATTCATACTTCAAAATATTCTTTGCATATCATTCCGTGTCAACTTCTAAATTGGATTTAACCCATTAAGTTTAAGCCACAATGAAAAGTCATCAAGTCAAGTATTTGTATGTATCATTTGATACTCTGTGAATATTTATGCAGCGATGCATTCGAAATACCGTTCTCTTTTTTTTAGAGCAAGCCAACGAGAATAACCAAATGAACACTTCCAAGTGGTCTTAGTCGATGTAAGAGTACTCACTGCACTCTATCAGCTTCCCTTTGGGTATTATAAGGCACGCCAGCTTCTGTCCGATGTTGCACTCTCTAGTTGTGTTACACAAGGCCCCGAATAGTTCTGGAAATGTTTATTACATATAATGTTTATGAAATGCAAGGCTGCTTTTTGTGAGCTCGACCACACACGAAGAAGCAAGGGAATCGTGCACAATGCTTGCAGGTCATCCAACATGTATATTTCAAGAAATAGCAATGTGATAACGGTTTCGAAAACTGTAGCTAACAATAATATACATAGGACATTTCTCAAACAATGATTAAGCCGAAAGACGTAAAATAGATGGTACGTTGAGTCGAGTTTTATTCATTTACCACAGACAGTTTTCAGCGAGTGGTTGAGACGTGGGAAATATCCTGCATAAAACAGCTTTACAATGTTGCACGTCCGAGATTCGCTGGGACGTTGCGCATTGCAAGCCGTTTCATGACATTTTCATCTGCTATGAAGAACATTATGAAACCTTGCGGTCAGGGCTAAACAAATTTGGTAGCTGTAAATCTGCAAGAACCACATACAAAAAGTTTCTAGGTACTGTTAGCGTTTTCAAGTATTTCTATTTTCAACTACAAAAGTACTTGTATGGTTAGAACGCTTAACACACAGACCAATAAAATATCCGTAGTACCGATTGTTAGCTAACTGGCATGGTTAAAGTTGAAAATTTACGCTTACTTTAAAAGAAACATTCGTATGTACTTTCTCAAATTCTGTGATAAATGATGAGTCTTTGATCACTCTTTTCGAAGGAGTAACGAAGAGGAATTTCTGAAAGAGTAACGACTTAAATCATACATTTATAAAATATGTTCTGTACCTTCCAAATGAACACCACGTAAGAAGAGTCATTCCAGCAAAGTCTATCGATGTTTGATCTCTCAATGCGTCATGGGTGGTAAAAGCTAGCAAAACGAAAACAATAATTTCAAGTGCAGTTAGCCGGCCACAGCGTCACTACTGATGGTCTGCTGAGTAATTGCTGCAATGTTTCTTGCAAATTTGCCACCTATGAACGCTGTGTTGGGAGACCTCAGATAGGTTCGACGCTTAATCGAATAACATTGCTAACATAAAGCGGATGTTTCAAGGACATGAAAATAATAGAAAGCGTGGTAATAAAGTTTTCCTTCACGTACTTACTTGGTGTTTTAGGTCGTTTAATCGCAGTAGCAAAAGCAGCGAGGATGATAAGTAAAATTCCCAAGCCGATGTCATCCGGTGCCATGGCTGAAACAAAAAAAAAGTAATTTGCTTACGCTACATTTTATTAAGACGCATTGGTTGTTAAATATCAGGTTCAATATATTTCCTGCGTCATGGTGTGCACTAGTTTTGGAGCAGCATAACTTTAAGCACAAAATTGCGTCAGTAGCGCCTGAACAAAACAGAAACATTCACAAACCTGTAGCTGTTCCTCACATTCTAGATACTTGAGCTAGATAAAGCATGTATTCGAGATACTTAGTGAATGTACTATAAAAAGCATCATGGCCAACACGCTACATACAGGACGGTGGTAGGATTATACGATCACTTACACGAAGGTGTTTCTACAATTTTAGGGTGTATGAGTAAAAAGAAGCACGAAGTTTCCGAGCAGCTAATCAGGAAACAGACATTGTTCGAAACAGTTGCTCAAATACTGTATAACATTGAAATTACGCCTGTGACTGCGAAAGCGGCCGACTATTTTATGCTAAAAGATGTGAAGCGTATCAAATGTATAACTAAAAGAAATTACACTGGCAGTTGCATAGAAAACTTCCAGACTGTATTATTCCCGGACCTTAGTGCTCTGGAAATATAGCAGAAATAAGACCGATAATGCCATTTCATTCCGAATTCAACACCGTGCCCTCAACAACATAAAAAGATCGAGTAATTACACTCAATTGGCTGAGCTACGACCACCTTCACGGAAGGTTTCTTGGCAGAATAATACTATTTGTTCAAACTGAAGTCGTTTTTTTTAGCCTGCATGCTTCGTTCCCTTCAATGATGGCGTGTGCTTTTTTCTTTAACTCACTCCAGCGTTGCCGCGTACAGGAATAACTCAATGGAAATTTTGACTTTTCGCTCATAACCTAAGGTTCTGTGTAATTATAAGATCTCAATTTCAGGCAATAGCATTATGTTCACTACCTTCCCAATTTCTCCTAACGTGCTTTGTTTTCCAACGCGTAGTCCAAGACATGCTCTGAAAGGCAATCTGAACTTACCAAAATGATATAGCATATACGGTGAAAGAGTGATTGAACTCAATAAAACTAAAATCTGGAATATTCCACCTCTAAAGGTGAAAACGTCACGTAACTTCGAGCAGCGCCGGTAATTCTTTTTTCTCGCGACTCAGAACCTCTAACGTAACTGCATGCTATAAGTATTCGGGTGCACTTCCTTAAAAGCATTGTTCGTTTGCTTCTCTGCTATCGAAACGCTCACGCATTTAATTTCTCGGCTTTATTGTGAACCATTCGCCTACGGAATTCGCTTTCAAATGACAATGTTGCGCAAGCAGATAAGAATAAATTTAGACAACTGTTCACCCTAAATTATTCATTGCAACAAATATTCACACTCACAATTTTTTTTTCTTGCGAAGCATGTGCGAAGTTCCGCGCTACGAATTCCTTTCTACTTTGTCTTCTTGTTTCTATGAGTGCACAAGTGATGTATATTTTTTACACGACTTGCGTGACGGTCGTTTTGCAAAAATGAGTATTATTTTTTCATCCCTTTCTGAGTATTGTTTTTTTAATATTACTCTGTTAGTTAATAGTTCGTGGCTTATTTTCACTTTTCTTGAGTATTGTTTTCATATTATTGACTGTTAGTAGTTGGTGTTATTATTAGTAGTATTTTGCAATGTGATTCAATTTGTTTCACCGTTTCGCAAGCACGTTACTGTTGCACTTTTCAGACTCATGTATCACATTCTTTTCCATTTCTTTTTGTGATGCTCCCCTTACTTAAATGCGCCCCGAGGAGCCTGTAAGGTACTTGTAAATAAAATTATGTATTTGTATACATAATTACATAAAATACATACGTACATAAAATACTGCACTGACCTGTATGTTTATTATCAACACTGTGCGGGATACTAGCCTTCTCAGGCTATCGTTCCAGGTGTTTGTATATGCAATATTGTAAAAAGAAATGAAAAAAAAATCACTGGCAAAAGAAAAACCGCAGATGAAGTCATCACTTTTGTTACTATTTTCTACAATGACAAAAAATCCACGCATTGGCACGAGGTGAATGAGGGCGAGTGGGTGAAGTTAGATCCTATGCTTCATAATTCAAGCGTTTTTGTATTGAGTGGAACCGAGGTGATTATGCTTCTTCTCTACGGTTACTGCAGACTTGTATTTACCAAGTCACGAATTTTGTTTCTATAGTGGAGCCAGTATGCGTTGACGGACTGTTTTAAAAAGTCATAAAAATAGCTTGCATAAAAGTATTCCAGTTGAGTGTTGATAGTGGCGTAGTGGCTTTTATCGTAGAGCTATTGTTTGCGTACATTTTCAGGGTGCAGCTATTTTCGAATAACTAAAGCATGAACTGCAAAACGATCACTTACGTGAGACATGACAGCGACTAATAAAAATGTGTCAGAATGAGAACTAAGCACAATGTCAAGTGTTAGATGATTTCAGGCTTTTATGAGTTCGCTTGTTAACAAGGTAGGAGAGTCTGAACGTAAGACTGATGGTGATGAAGCTGCTTTGGGTAGCGTTCACCAATATAGGTGCGTCGTAGTTAGACCAATCTATGTAGGGTCAAGCGAAGTCGCCAAACATCATAATGGAGCATGGCGATGCCATCTTATGACAGAATAGACCCTCTCATCGAAAAACGCCAGGCCTTCGCGGAAGGAGCACGACAGTCAGAGCGAAAGCTAGAAGAGCGGCATTTCAGAGCCTTTTATAAACACTCCTTGGGTAACTGCTGCAAGCATACTTGCTTGGTGCCCACTATGGCATTAATAATAAAAGTTTTTGGCCTGTGGGCCGACATTTGCTATGCTATTTTTTCCTGATTCTTTTGAGAAACGTGGTGTCCGCTAAACACTTGCAAGGAATTTTGTGCCGATTGTCCATGCAGTACCTGAGGATGATGAAGAATTATGCCTGAAGTGGGTATCCGCCACAGTTAATAGGGAACCAAGAATAAGCTTTTTTTATAGGTTAGAACCTTGGACGGCCCACTCTTTATGCTTATCACATTTTGCGACGACTGGTTCTTGTTTCACTGTTGTAAAACGCTTTATAAGTCGTATTAACACGATTTCTTTCCCGACATCAACCCTGTCTAAGGTAAGTTTGCCAACAGATTCCGAGCACCGGCGTGGCTCAGTGGTAGAATACTGGGCTGGCACAAAGCTGACATGGATTCGAGCCTTGATGGGTCATAGGTACTAGGTTTTTTTTTCCAACTTCGTGTGATGTGATTACGGACACTGGCCGTAGTGGCAGCGGATAGCTACGGCGGCGCGTGGCCCGAGTTGTGATCTCATAACAGCTTTTGCTATTCGGTAAGACGATCAGAATATGTATTCATCAACGACCCAGACTCTTTCTTTCCTTGCTCATTGGCCACGTTTTTATACAGCACAAATTAATTTGGTTCAGAAGCAACTATGCAGAATAAACGTAAAAATTCGAGATATACCAGCCGCAAACGATCCAAATCAAAATCTCATAAAAAATATGATGAGATTTTTCCCTTTCATCCTAAATTTCAATCCCACAGGGTCCTAAATAACCACTTGCAAGATTACCTTGCACACGTGGAAACAAATAATGTAATAGCCACTGATGCTTCAGTAATATATGAGAAGGCAGAGTAGGTATTTACTCTTCTTCACTTGACTGGTCATTTTCAGTAAGATTACCAGACTTTACACCTATTTATGAAGCTGAACTTTTGGGAATTGCTCTAGCACTTCAAAAACATGCTTTGGACACCCACACTAGCTGCTATAATAACTACAGACTCTATGTCCATATGTACGTCACTGACAGTTTCATCTCAATCAGATGCCTTAAGGCCATTCCTTACGCTAATTCCTCCACAGCTTAGGCTCTTAAAATTATTATGGGTACCTGCAAATTGCTGGTTAGAGTTAAATGAAATGACGGACTCATTAGCTCGAATGGCACAAAATTGCCCAATACTTTCTGTGATTCCGGTGCTGTCCAGTATAACAGCGATAAAATATCGAAAATTTGCACTCAGGGCTGATGCCATAGAATCAGTAACATCATGCACTGAATTTAGACATTTGAAATATCGACGGAAATCCGGCTGGTATCATACTAGACTACTGGAAGTCATGCTAATAAGACTGCGATGTCGTGTGCCCCCTTTGAATCTATATTCACACAGGGCTGGTCTGGGAATATCTCCCCTATGCAGCTTTTGTACAGATCTGGAATCAATAGACAATAATTTTTTGTCATGTCACCGTTACAGTCAATTGAAAAACGTCTCCTTATCATCCCATTTGCTAACCTTGGGCTGCCCTTCACCATTGAGAATATACTCTCCTTTAATGCTTCGGTTCTGGGCTACAGCCACAGGAATGCCTTTAATGCCGTTTGCAGTTATCTTCGTGAAACAAAACGAATGCGCCTCTAAATTTTAATTTGCATATTTGTTATAATATTATTAAGCAAATTCAAAACATCAATTTTAAAAGCGTGCGATATTATAGCAATTTAAATTCGAGATATATATAATTCTGTCTGGTCGAAATGGCAAAAAAATTGCACTTCTTTATTTACGTGTGCTTATCCTCCTACTGTTAGGATTAGGTATCATTCGAATGGCTTTAAATTTAATATCCTCAATTCTTGGACAATCCCCCTGAGTGGGCAAGAGCCATAGTGGAGGCACCATCATCATCATCATTTTGCTGTGAAACAGCCGCAAAAGTCATGTCAGCATCAGGCATCAGAAACCACCAATTATGACTTACATGTAGAAGACATTACTTGCAGCAAACACGACTTCTAATAGTGTGCTCACTTCAATTTGGACTTACTGGAGAAATTCTAGAGTGCCTTTTTAACCCCACCACATTTTTGTTAGGTTAAATATGTCGAAAAATGCTAATGATTCAAAATGCTCATCAAATTTCAGAGTTATTAATCGTCGAGTTAAGCCATGTTTTAGTTAAATCAATATTGTTGGTATCTGTATTGTGTGTTGCCTACCGGTAATTTCAATATAAATTTCAATATTGTTTTATTTAGGTGCACAATTATAATACAGCGAGTTCTTATAGCAGTAAGTTTGGTGCATTCAGGCCAATGACTCTGCTGGAACAATAATTGTGGAGGGATTCTTTTCTATTTTTATATGTGGGTAAGTAAAAAAATATTCACATTTGTCATTATACTGCTCAGTATTGAGAAGCTAAGGTTATACTGATGGGCATAATATCTTTACGTGATTTTTCTGAAAGCCACTTTTGCACTGAACTTAGCTCGTCTAAAGCAACCACGCAAAGAATCCTTCAGGGGCGCAAGAAGAGAAAGTGAGAGGAGAGCTAAGTCTCCACTGCAGGGAGGGTGTCCTAATAACTCAAATTTATTCTTGTCTGTGGTTTTATTTGTGTGACGAGCCATGTGTGGCCGTGCATTTTGCTGCAACAACAAAACTTTTTTCAAGGATAAACCGCAGTGTTTGGGGTGAACTGCGCGTTTTCGATCCACAAAAACGGAGTTTTACGTCCTGTAGCACACTTCTACTATAATGCGAGGGCAATCTGCGGTCAATGTCTGCACCGTTGACACCGTCACGTTACAAGAAATGGTCACTCTCGTTGTTTCTCCTTGGTGTAAACTTCTAATGGAGCAGTCAGGATATATTAGCAAGAGATGGAAGAAAAGTACAGTAATTCGGTTCAAACTTTCAGGGCGTTGCCACAACACTATAGCCATAAAGTATACGAGGACATAATACAAACTGTACACTATCAGAGAACTTATGACAAAAGTGGAGATGATTTCTGACTTGCCTTTGCATTACACTATATGCACTACCACTGTCGTCGGCCAAGAACAACAATAGCGGTAATCCAAGAATCAACCCGTCCTACTCTTCCTCCACAAGGTAACCGACTGAAAACACGACACTGCTTGTATGAAAAAGAAAGAATGAGTAAAAAAAAGGCTGTGATTAAGCTTTCTGTGTTTTGGCTTTTAAAGATGTTAGCCTTTCTTGGGGACTTTCAATGCAAAAATTTTGTTCTATCTATCTATCTATCTATCTATCTATCTATCTATCTATCTATCTATCTATCTATCTATCTATCTATCTATCTATCTATCTATCTATCTATCTATCTATCTATCTATCTATCTATCTATCTATCTATCTATCTATCTATCTATCTATCTATCTATCTATCTATCTGTCTGTCTGTCTGTCCGTCTGTCTCTACATTTGTTTGTCCGCCCTTAACGGTACCCCAAACGGCACCAAACGATACCCCAAATGGCCGACCCCATCCACAGCGCCCATCAATATTGCTCAAGATTCATCGTTTAACGTCAATAATCTTTATGTGTGTTTTTTTGCTTGAAAAGGAATACATATGTAATTCTAAGGACCATAGCGTTCATCACACTGCGCTGACCATGCAGTGCTTGCACGAAAAGGCAAGTGTTTCCAAGGCTTTACAAAGATGACACTTACCCGTCGCTTTGCGTTCTACACCTTATCGCCTCCGCGACGGGCGCGCACGACGCGCGCTTGGTTTTCCAAGATAACTGCCAGATAGCGCTCAAGTCTCACGCGTGACGTGACTTGATGCACTCGTTCGTCTCCGCTAAACGGTCGAGGCACTCTAACGCAGCGTCTCCAGAATACCATCCACCAATTTTCTTGCGCAGAACACGAATAAACGTTTCATTCACTCTCTCCAGACGCAAGACTATCGTCTTTCGACGACATCTGCAGTGTAACATGGAGATACGAGGCCAATTTTTTTTACTATGCTCTTACTTCGCCTTTGTTCTAGCCTTCACTTTGGGCTTATTCACTTAGAGGAAGGGGCACTTTGAAAACTTTGCTGTAGGGTTACAGTAACAACATTATATGACCACCCACTGACAACAAGCACTACTGTAGCTATATGTAAATCTTCATCTGCCTTTTGTGTACTTCTGTCATTGCAGTGCATGTGGCACAGTATACACTGTCATAAGATCACAACGTTGATGAAAGGCACAGATTGCAGGTAGGTCCAAGATGAAACTGTTTATATGACCGAACATGGGGCTGATAAATGGAAAGTAAGATTACAGCTATACACGATGGCAGGGTGGTCACGCCATACACCGTATTGAACTCTACCATGAGATCTGTGCACCTAAAGAACTGTGACACATCGGTACTCAAACTGTACTTGGAACAAAGTTACCGTGCGCAACCGGTGCAGCGTGAACCGATAGCGGCGGAAATAGCATAGGCCGTCGATCAACTGATGATCATTGGGACACGTTATCTTTTTCACATCATGCGTCGAGCTTATAAGCTTTACCACTGATGGTCGTTCCACCGCGGTGGTCTAGTGGCTAAGCTACTCGACTGCTGACCCGCAGCTCGCGGGATCAAATTCCGGCTGCTGCTTCTGCATTTTCTATGGAGGCGAAAATGCTGTAGACCCGTGTGCTCAGATTTGTGTGCACGTTAAAGAACCCCAGAGGGTTGAAAATTCCGGAGTCCTCCACTACGGCGTCTTTCATAATCATATGGTGGTTTTGGGACGTTAAACCCCACGTATCAATCAATCCACTTATTGTCGCGCAAATTCTGGATGAAGATTGAGTGTTCGCGTCAAGCGTGCAATCTTCACTACAGTCCTAAAGCATTTCGAACCAGAAACGTGCGGTTTGCGCTGATCTCGAATACGGGAGAGGTGAAATAAAGAACACACGTTGCATTATTGTCGTACTTGGGACTACAGCGTGCACATCTTCACAGCCCAAGAATAACCAATCATAAAAGGGGTTTGTCTTTTGAAAACATGTATACAAAGACTGTTTTGCTGAATTTATAACGTTTTGCGGGTGATGCTAACTTAATTTTATGCGCAACGCGGATATTTTGCCGTTGTGAAACAACGTTACGCCCAAGGAGAACTGCCCGAAAAAATTAAAATTTTCGGAGCGGATGTCTCTGGTGTTACAATGAGTGAAGCCGGTTCGTACAACAATAATTTTGACATGCTATTAGTAAAAACAAATGCTAAGATGCCTGTCCTTTAATGCACGTCACAGGCCGTAATCTGTAGAGTTAGCGTAGCATGCAATGAAAACAATAGATTTCTTACTCCAAGAAGAACAATGGTACATAACTGCATTTCAGTGATATGCATTACGTCGGTGGTTCAGTCGTAAAATACTCGCCTGCCAGCGATATGCAGGCGAGTGTTCCGTCACTGAACCACCGATGAAATGCATGTCAGTGAGATCAATATCACCGAAATCAGAGCCTTATATTATTATTAAGAGCCTCGTATTATTTCAATTGTGAATGGATCTCAAGTTGACTGAAATCATTGTTACGTCATATTCTCACCGTACTATCTCTCTACCCTTTGAGTTCAAACGTAGTATTTCCACCAATCTATGGTCAATGTGAGGCTTATACTTTCCGTTAGCTTACTTTTTACCATGATGATCCAATAGTATTATTAAAACGTTGTGATTTTGTCACTGCTTTTCAGTGCTATTTTGCCCTCGACGCAAAGCTAGCTTTACCCTTTTTGTGGCTGGTTTGGAAAACTATGTGACATTGCTTCAAAGCACTTTCAACAGCTACTTGAATACTACCGCGTGACCTTGAAGAAAAATCGACGTCTTCTCGCGTATATCAATGAATACATTATTCGCTTTTAAATTCACAATTTCATTTTAGTGTTCAGTGACAATTTATATAACACAGTGTTCTTGACAAACTTTACTAGTATATTGGTGTCCGTCCAGCATTCTACTCCATGTCTTTACACAATGGAAAGCTTCAGAACCTCAAGCACTTTAAGCCCAGAAAATAATTACGACAGGCTTGCTCCCATTAAATGTATAATCTTGTCTTCGTTATTTCTTCTCCTTTCATGGAAAGGGAATTGTTTAAAAGTTTTATCGTAAGGAGGCATTTACATTCGTTCTAGATATACTTTGCATGGCTTTTCGCACGCTTGAAATAAAATCAGTGTATACCTAAAGAAAGAAGATGAAACTTCTTGTTGGCGTAACTCGCATGTACAATAGGTACTAAGAACAATAATATATTGAGGCGCTTTTCAGTAGAATGAAGGCAAACAGCACAGTGCAGCAGGAAGGAAAGACTATGCGGTGATTCTGTGTTTCTTGAACGAACGCACCAGAGTTATGCTCGAGGCTGGAACGGTGGTATTAATAGTGTCGGCCCTTCCCTTTGTGTTTGGTAAGTGAGACATGCATTTTGCTTTCGTTAGCGAGTTGTGTTTAATGTAAGATAGCTTCAGCACTAACAACGCGAGTAAAAAACGAAGCCTAAAACAGTGTCCAATAGAAATTCAAAGTTTTTTTGTGCCTACATATATAAATGGTGTAAATGAATATGCAGAAACGACACATTCACATCTGAAATATTCGTCCAACTGTAACGAATAAAGAAACGTCAGCTTCTTCACTGCTTTTAGCTAGTGGCATTCCAGTAGAAGTTTTCGCTGAACATTGTTCAAGAACTTGCCAAGAAAATTTTGAGCAGAGATTATTAGCATGAAAAGAAACAAAGAATTAGTTATAAAATTTGTCTTAGCCATCCCACCAGACCAAATTTCACAAGTAGAATTCGTGCCTCTATAAAGTCGTCAATTATTCTTTAAAATGAAGGCATTTTTATAATGTGGAAATATGTGTTGTCGAAATACTCCAGCTATTTCCCAAAAACGTAAGCCAAGTAAAAAAAACTGCACCATATTTCGCTAAAGGGAACCATGTGTAGATGCAAAGCAGCGGGCGTTTACACTTACATTGGCAGTGGCGTTGACGGTGGCCGTCATCAAGCCGTTGTTTAGAAGGGAAACCAGGGGAGGCGCAAAGCACGCATTGATGGACCGGTGTTTCTTACTGGAACATGCCAATCGCTACTAATTTGCAATGAAAGAAAGAAGACTTCGATTGGACACAAGAAACCCGCGGTCTGCTTTTAGTTGACACTCACGTTGCGAATTTTTATTGTACAACAACGCACAGGAAGAATCTCCCACCTGCACTACATTGGAGGTCAAGATGGAGTGCGTATATGTACGTAGTGTCCAGTGAATGGCTGTGAAGCGCGAGGTGTTGGTTTTTTAAATAAGGAAACTCGCTAGCGAACGCTGCCTGAGTCGGCGTTTCGAGGTGAAAGAGGGAAGGGGGTATATTATGAGAAAGAGTGAAAGTGGACGTGCATGCACATTGACGGTTTCAACACCGCATGGAAGGATGTATAGAGGAGAAATAAGGAGAGCGAGCGTATGCTAGCAGACGGTGCCTGCGTCAGTGTTGCAGTATGAGAGAAGGGGCAGCGTAGGAGAGGAGAGACGTGGAGGGGACCCGCAAACGCAGTAAGGGTGGTCACGCCATACACCGCATTGAGCTCTACCATGAGATACTGTGCATCTAAAAAAAGAAAACAAATGAAATTTGGTGGAAGAGATTCTGCAATCTTAACGTTACTTTGTAGCATTCATGCAAGATTGCGTTCGTCAGTTTTGTAGGATTGTAATGACTATCTTTTCATATTTTGAATGGGGATAGTTCAATGGTGATTTTGCAATTACTACTTTTTAAAGCATGAACTTATCGCGCTGTTGGAGTGGCTATTGGTCGCAACATCGAGCAGACTCGCCGCCTGGCGGCAACTGGCCGAAACAGTGCAGTGTGGATTGCTCTGTGCGTCGTATGCTAGCCACGTCGTGCTTTTATGTGCGCGTACTCCACGCACGTTCTCAAAGTGTGGTTTGTCCGGTCATGTAAGCGCAAGTGTAACTGTTTCTACGTATGCCTGAAACGACGTACGAAAGCATTTAGTCTTGCACGGGTGCTAATGCGTTGTAATAAGATCGGCGAGTTCAACTTTCCAGAGTGCTGTTTACGGTCATCGTGCCCTCCATTCAGTAGAATAATTTCACAGTGGGTTCCGCTTTCTGCTTCAAGCACATCGCAAAATGCTCTCAGCATCCTCCCAAACATAAGGATTATTCACTGGTGTGTGAATGTAGAATTTTATAGCGATTCAGTTCTAAAAAAGAAAAAAAAAACAGGCTCTAGTGCAAGCACTTGCACGTTGTTGATAGGTGTACAACTAAGGAAGAGTAGGTTACCGATCATGCGAAAAGCAGTAGTTGAGTTAATCGGACCATGGTACCACTACATAAAAACATTACTATCACATAAACTGTGAAGCCCGGTCTTTTCAGACCAGACTTCAGGACACAAATAAAGTTTTGTTAATGCATGAATGATTGACATAAACTTTGACACGTCTGTACTTAAACTATACTTAAAACAGAGTTACCGTGCGCAACCGTGTGCTCAGAACGTTTTAAGAGCATAGACGCTGAAAATTAATTCAGATGGCATTCTTTTATAACATGTAAAATTTCACGAATTTTTTTCGCATTGTTTTCAGCATTTTTGTGGCATTTTAATGGCCGACTGAAGGCAGTGGTAATTTTTTGTTTGAAAAAAACAAACAAACAAAAAACATGCACGTCCCATTAACCAGGCCATGTCTGTACACATGGTACACGCAGTGTAGCGCAACGCGCCGTCAGCCACTAAGCTTTCCTGACGAGACTTATCGACTGCCCCACATGTCATGGTGAACAGAATGAGAGCATAAAAAATGATATGCGCATAAGGTGCGAACGGCGGTATACTAATCGCACAGATATGCGGGCTTTCTACAATCTTTCTTTTTTTTTGTTGTATGCAGATAACAAAGATGTAAATAAGTAGTTAAGTCCCGCTACAGCAGTGAGTAACAGGCGGAACACAAGCTAACCGCGTACGAACAACGCAGTAAAGGCGTGATTTAGTGCGAAAGTGTGAAGAGCATCACTCAGGGTGAGCATGCCTATCAAAAGGCAGAATGCACTTAACTCGCGGGTAACGTTAACGTTGCATAGGCGTCGTGCACCGATTCAATAGAAAAGAGCGTAGATATTAACAGTAAACTGTAGTCAACGCATTTTATCCGCCGAAAATTGGCTCAGACCGTACGCAACTAAGCACCGCTGCGTGCATTTAGATACGCGCCGCCGACCGTTCATCCACACATTCGCGGGACGGTGCTGCCACCTATAGCCCGATCTCACCGCGAATAGCGCTCGAATGTTGACCCGAAGATCGCAAGATAGCATTGCCGCCTCGGCGAGAGCATTTTGGTGGAATGACAGTTCGCAGTCCGGTGTACTTAGATTCACGTGCACGTCCCGTATATTAATATTGCTTGACGAGTTGTACCGTTAAAGCTCGTTGTTGAATGGATATTCATGCCCCCTATTACCCTTTGGGCAAAGCTAAGGTTTTATAAGCAACGTGCCAGTGAGTGGTTGCAGTACACATCTGTAATCGGGTTGTAGCCTCTCATTGCAAACCTAGGGAACACGGCTAGCGTTGCAGTTAGTGGCAGAAGAAACCTCGGTAAACACAGAACCTCTGACCTTGGCAAAGCCCTTGCAGTACCCTTCATACCGGTAGACCAGTGCCATAAGCAAGAATCTACTGTCGCACATGATTTTCGGAACTGCACGCGGTGAACTCAGTGACAATTTGCAAAAACAGGAACACACACAAAAAAAGAAATCTCTGACAGCCTACTCGATAACAGCGTTCAAAAGTACTATTTCTGTATTGTTTCTCATGTTTACCAGGACAACCAAGGGGTTGCCTCGTAGTGCCACGTACGAGCCGATGTGGTTTACCTACACCACGCTGGTACTACAACGCCACCGGCAGGCGCTGCCAACCAGTTATGTGGGGAAGATGCGGATACAAGGGAAACGTATTTAAAACATTCTCAGAATGCGAGCAAAGGTGTGGTGGTAAGTTGAAGAACCAGTGCACAACAGAATGCCTACTTTAAACACTTACACCTTGTGTAAAGTGATGAACTTATTGATATTTCATGAACTGTTGAAAAGCAGTAGCACCATAGTCGGTGCTATGTATTTCATTTTTAATAAACAAATATCCGGCGTATATGAGCAATACCCCTACTTATGCACGTATCATGTCATCGTAAGGGCCTGTTACCTGTAGCTTGCTTGTTTGTGGAAAGATTGCATACATTAAAGCAACGTTGAAGGTATGTTGCTTGTACATTCTTCATCACGTGCCTTTCCCAAAAAGTATATATGTGCTGCTGAATATCAGAACTGCTATTATGAGGCCTTTTTGCCATTGCTCACACTTTTCTATGGCGAAACATTGACCCGTGTCCACGTGGTTATGACGGTGCTTATGAAGACGACACCGACTCAGAAAAAATAGCAGCAGGCTTCTCCATAACCAACAGAGAAGGCTTTCTGAAGAGCAGAAGGAGTGAATGCACAAGTCGCCTGTGTTCGAAGACGAGTCTCAACTTCTCATGCTGCGGTGCACACGCCTTCTTTTTCAGCTCTTTTTTTATTTCTGTGGATCAACTTCTAAAACGGACCACACACACGATTTATCAGCGCGCCCGCGTCCATGGTAAAATGCAGCTAGAAAGAAGGCTGTGGTGTTAGCTTTCTACCAATATAGAATGAGAGGTCGCATTTGTGAAATATGTTTATCACCTCACAAAACGTCTTTGAGGGCCACAAAGGCGGGGCAGTTCTTACATTAGCTCAGTATTAAGCTACACTTTACATCTGAGTCTTACTGAGCAGATTCTCCGAGCGAGTGACATGAGTATGCAACATATAAAGTTTGTCCCCAAGAATAATTGATTGATTTGTGGGGTTTACAGCCCAAAAACCACCATATGATTATGAGATACACCATAGTGGAGGGGTCCGAAAATTTCGACCACCTGGGGTTCTTTAACGTGCACCCAAATCTGAGTACATGGGCCTACAACATTTCCGCCTCCATCGGAAGTGCAGCCGCCACGGCCGGGATTAGATCCCGCGACCTGCGGGTCAGCAGCCGAGTACCTTAGCCATTAGACCACCGCGGCGGGGCTGTCCCCAAGAATAATTCACTATATGAACGCTAAGGAGGATGAACCAAAGCTACTTTTTTTATCATAAACAACTCATGTTGTAAGCCCCTGGCAGTATAGGCAAATATAACCGCTTGCTTTTGGACCATTTCTGATCCAAGATAAAAAATGGACCATAAGATTGAACTTGAAGAGCATAGTTATTCCAGTAAAACTTTGGCACTCGGAGCACATTTCAACTTTTACCAGAAAACCTGGTGTAATGCTTTATTTGAAATTACTGCTTCGAGCCATTGCAGGGTTGGTGACAACTGCTTTTTTGGTAGTCGTTCCGAGCTTTCACCGACCAGGCCTAATGTCTACCAAGTGGGGCCAATGAGGCTTTGCGTCGCCACCATCTCGTGGGCCTTCTGGATGACCCAAATTTGTTCGTCGAGAGCGGGCCTGCACAAAGAAGTTGCCCGCATTGCGGGCAGGTTCTTGCAAACATTTGATGCCACACCCGTAATATCCGAGGTCGGACGAGTGTTGAAAACTAGACTAACTACACCACGTGGATGCTACCTGAAAACTGTTTTCTTGAGAAAGTAGAGCTTGTATACCAGCTTCCATATTACAGACTCCAGAAATAGATTGTCGAAAGATATTTCTTTTTTCTATATAGGCAACTTGTTTCATATTAAGACCTATTTTAGGAGAAAAATACAGGAAGTGAGACGATATGCTAAGTTATAGCAAATAATTTTATATAGTGCATGCGCAGGATGCTTTTTGTAACATGTACTGGTTTACTTATTCAACATTTTGCATTCCGACAGCTTCTTATCAAGCGAACACTGACCCTTGCCTTGTGGTCCCACGAAATCAAACTTGCAACAACAAAAAACCTTCCGTTTTAATGTGGAGTTTTCACACGCATTCAATGACCTGCATTGCCACGTATTATAATGGCTGCGGAGGAAATAAAAATCGCCACAGAACCTGTAAGATGTGCTACAAGGAATGCCGGCGTAAGTGAAATGGCTTGGTCATGCTGACATGACAATAATTACTTTTGCATACCTTTTAGGTTAATTACACGAATGAAGTAGCGTCCACGTTTCTTAGTGCAACTCTATTGCTCGAATCGTCAAGACGCTCTCAGAGAATGGAAATATAGATGACCCAAGTACGTCACCCAGCATGTCTTTTTCTAGAAAGAGTGCGAGTAGAGGAGGAAAATACGACATGTATTTACGTTTTGTAAAAGACTGATCCAGCGTAACGTAAGGTTATCTAAGATAACCACTAATGATGATAATAATAAACTCAATAATTACTTTATTCAAATAAACCAGTTCAATAGAAGGTTGATGAACAATACGTGCGTAATAGTTTGCGCAATGCGTGTAATCTTAGAGCTTTCAGAAGCTACCGTGTAGCTTCTGAATTTCAAAAACGCACTGCAAAGCTGACATTATTTAAACCAATATTGCGTTGCGCATTATCGATCGTAAAAGTAATTGCATACAAAGCTCTAGATAAAGCAAATTTTGAATATGCGGATCCTATCTGAAGCCTTCGTCAAAAATACGTGATAAATAAATAGAACGGAGGGCAAAATTTACCCTTAAAGTTCATTCTCACCACATATTCACGTTTTTCAAGCGTATCAATTATTCGTGACAAGGCCAAACTGAAAAAAAAAACAAGCTCAATGCACAAGTGTACCTCGCATCAAATTTTTATATCGGTTGCACCACGGTCACTCCAAGATAGGGCATGGAAACTATATAACTGAGCCCCCCATGCGTTCTGGTCATACAAACCACAACAAAACCGTTGAGCAGCTGTTATGTCATCTTAAGATACATCAACATTCCCTTTTTGAACATCCAATTACCCTATATGGCTAACTACCACAATAAGTAATTAACGCTACTTCAATACATTAATTCATGCAGGTGTTAAATCGCCTTTCCTTTAAAATGAAGAAATATATTTATGCTGTGTAGTATTGAAGGCGCTTGGTTCTTGCATTCGATTCTCATTTGCAATCTGTTCTCATGCATATTCATTTTTTTCTTTACTGAAATTACATTTATCACACATGTTGGCAACTGTTCCAACTACTGTTGTTATTGTTTACGTATTATGATGTCCGCACTCCTGCTTGAGCCCGAGTAGGGCTCACACTATGTGTAAATAAATAAATAATGTAAATGCACGGCATGCATATATTATTCTGAGCCTGATAGTATTGGTATTTGAACAAAGAATATAGACTAAGATCTGTTACCCCTTTCAGAGTTTTCTTCTTTTTTCATGGTACTCCTCGAAGCGAGCTGCTCGTGCCCTCTATCTTGTTGCTCCTAAATGTGTGTTTGCTCAATGGCATATTACGTGAGATAAACTCGGAATTTAGAAACAATAGTTTAGAAAAACATACCTGGATTTACGTATGATTTTCATGCTTCACACACCACTGTTTAAGTTTTGAAACAGTGTGTTTTTGAGTAGTTAGTGAGAGGAATGTACAAGTAGAGCACCCGTAGTATTTCCACCTATGTCGAGGGTATCAACCTACAGCGACGTCATTACTTCATCATTTCATCATTAGGCCATAAAGTCACCCTAGCTACCTTTTCTCAATATCAATCTATCGCTGTATTTACTATATATTGAAGGAACCGCTTCTGTTGCTGGCTTAAATTTATTACCACAAGGAATGAAGCACAATACACAAACAAGTAGAGAAGAAGACGCACTCATTCTTATGTTTGTCGTTTCATTTCTTGCGCTAATATGCCTCACCTAGTTATGCGGAACAAACTAGCTATCAAATTGGTAGCTCTGATTATGTCTGTCAGCAATGACACTGCATAGGAATTCACAGTCATCCATTGAAAAGCGTCCACCCTCTAGCTGTCCTACTCTACGAAAATTCTAGCATGAACTTTTGCTGCGAAATTTGTTATGAGATCACAACTCGGGTCACGCGCAGTTGTTCACCGCCGCCACCAGTGTGCGTAACCACACCGCGCGAAATCAGAAGAAATGGAAGCATATCGACGGAGTGAATGATGGGGAGTGGGGCGAAGCATTCGTCCGTCCATTCGTTCTTGCTTTCGTCCGTTCCTGCGTACGTCTGTGTAACCGTCCATGCGTCCATCCACCCGTCCGTGCGTGCGTCTGTTCGTGCGTCCGTCCCTGCGTTCGTCCATGCATCCGCGCCTGCGTCCGTTCATGCGTCCATCCATGCATCTGTCTGTGTGTCCGTTCGTCCATCTATTCAGCACTCCAAGTACCACGATCTCGCATCTTTTCATCATATATTCTCCATATAGAAGCACCGCCATCCAGCGGACATTTCAAGGACTAAACGGGAGGTGGCACATGCACACTTTCTTACAGCTTGCGCCTCGGGTTTACTTCCCACCTTTAACCACCTCGAGTTCATGGTATATACTAGTTCACTGTATTCATGGCTATGCTGCCCAACGCTCGCTAAACCTTTCTAAAACCAAGGAGGTTACACCCAGCCAGTATAACGTAGCAACCCTTTCTTGTCAGATCGTGGTCAATGTACATGCCAATAGCTGCTAATGGGGATCGCAGCGTGCGCGTTACCTAAAGGCCGAATGCTCCTGTCTCTCATTCCCCCTTAGCAGCCATGAACATGTGCACTGAGCACTATTTTTTATTGTTCAACAACGCACAGAAGAAATCTCTCACCGGAACCACCTTGGAGGTCAAAATCGTAGGGACCACTATTTCGGGTATGTGCCACTGGCGGTTACGTACTACGAGGGACGCACAAGCCACGCCATAAGGAGCTTCGCCCCTAAAAAAATTGCCCGCAGCTTCCCTCGGGGGAACACTGAGGAGGATGCGGACCATATAATTGGTTAACGGGGTGTTAAAGTGTGACTTACTTGGGTCGATGGCTAAATTGGTTAACGTGGTTGTGAAATGGGGTGTTAAATTGCGACTTACTTGGGTCGATGGCTAAATTGGTTAACGTGGTTGTAGGAGGGGGTGTTAAATGAGTGAACACGTACACACGTATGCGAAAGGGCGGCGCTGGTCGAAGGGAAGTTGATCATTGTGTTTGTGGATTCGTTGGAATTCATTTCACCGCGACCTTGGACGTCGACGCGCCGTACAAACCAACAGACGAGCGGCAACTGAGCGAGCGAGCGCCGACCTTGAGTATATATACAGCACGACGGCGCATGCACTGTCAGCTGTTGAATGTTCTCGAAGCGCGACGCCACATGCGCGTCCACTGGAGAATCAGGAGAATTGTAGATGTCGAACGCGGTGTGTAGAGGAGGAAGGGTGCACAGATGGTGGAGGAGTGACGCGCGCGCGGTGTGTAGAGGAGGAAGGGATGCACAGATGGTGGAAGAGTGGGCGACGGCGCGACGGCGCATGCGCGCGCGTCAGCTGTCGAATGTTCGAGAAGCGGTGCGGACGGCGCGGACGGCGCGGACGGCGCACTACAAGGCGCGAGTATAAGATGCTCCGCATCTAAAAAGGCAGATCCTACATACAGTGGGAATCGATGATATGCGAACACGTATGAGAAGCACGAATGAGAAATGTTGACACGTCCATTTAAATCAGCACAACGTTACGAGGTGGAAGTAAATGATGCCGTACAGGATTTCTGTGTCTGTGTTCTGTGATCTATTCACGTCACGTGATACCAAATTTAGTATATGTGGAGCTAGCTAAACGGCCGCGAGCATGCTATGAGCGTGATATGTTGTCATGTTCTTAGATAGCAAGCGTGTCAGGATTATCATGTTTGCAGCAGTCATATATTTCCTCATCCATTGACGTCCCGTAACACCAAATTTGTTATATGTGGAGCTTGCGAAACGGCCGCGAGCGCATCACGAAGGGCCCAATATTCTCCAATGTAGCGTGGACGCGCGCGCACGCTGGGCACAGCGACGCTATACGTTAGCAAAACGCGAGCACTCACTAGTCTGACGCCAGGCGCGACCAGCGTTCGTCGGTGCGGCCCGACGGCAACTGACGCGAAATGCGACATGCTGCATTTAGCGTCGATCCGCTGCCCAGACAACCCGGCGTCTCACTCTTTGCGTGACGGAGGGATGCCAGATGCGCAGAAACGCGCATGCATCAAAGCATCGCAGCGCGCCGCGCGCCTGCGAATATATGGCAGGACCGCCGCCTGGCGGGCAACGCCGGCGAGCACGCGCACCACACCACGTCGACATGTATTGGCACCTTGACTGTGGCATGTAGTCATGTTCTCACATAAGACGCATCTCATGTCTATCATGTTTGCATCTACATGCATCATACTTTCGTCATCCATTCCCGTCCCGTAATACTGAATTTGGTATAAGTGAGACTAGCGAAACGACCGCCAGCGCATCATCATGAGCGTGGCATGTAGTCATGATGTTACATGACACGCACCTCAAGATTATCATGTTTGTACCCGTCACATACATTCGTCATCCATTCACGTATCGTAATACCAAATATGGTATATGTGACGCTAGCTAAACTGCCGCGAGCGCCCCATGAGCGTGGCGTGTGGTCATGTTGTTACACGCATGTCATGATTTTTATGTTACGGTATGTCGCTTATGTTCGCCATGCAATTATGCCATACCATACCAGTTTTTAAACATGCCATCTGAACGAAACTAACGCAAGAGCTGCTGAACCACGAAATGTAAACCATGTTATTCATGACACACATGCCATGACAAACATGCCACAGTATGTTCGTCATACTGTCATGTTATATTGTTATATCATACAAAGTTTGGTATCGATAGCATTATTGAAACGGCCAGCAGAGGTAAAAGTCGTAGGTGGCTAGATAGATAGATAGATAGATAGATAGATAGATAGATAGATAGATAGATAGATAGATAGATAGATAGATAGATAGATAGATAGATAGATTGATAGATACGCTCAAAGTCGCCGAAGTTCGCCAAGAAATGCTTCGCATTTAAGAAAGCGCAGCATAGTCACAGTG